TACTAGTAGCTTCTTGTTCCTAGTAGCGATGGCCTCCAACCTACTTGCATTGGCCTTCACCTAATAGCGTCCTTGTTTCTAAGAAAGAGATCTCTTACATGACTATTTACGTTAGTAAGCCCCTCATCCGGATCACATTGCAAATAAGGCGCAAAAGACCGCCAGAGCTGAGCACCATGATTTGCAGCAAGAATTCTCAGAAGAATATGTTGTCCAACATTGGCCTGCACATCTTTTTCAATCATTTTAGCGCATTCATCAAGACATACCGATTCCAAAAGGTGCCTGCGGGGTTTGTTCTTGAAAGCCACTGGCAGTGTTTTGCCACTTTAGTGTTTGAAGAAGAGTGCAGATAATCATTGCAAAAGCAATGCCGCCGACTTCAGGCATGACATTCCTTGTTGATGTTTTTGTTGCTAATGCTTTTTTGTTCTGTGTAGGTGGTGAGCTGCTTTGGTGTTGCACTTTCAGGTATCGCTCGACCATGGAAAAGATGAGTTCTGTGGCCGAGCGGCTTCGATCTTTGCAGCTCGACGAGGAAGAATCGCAGCGGCTGCAGCTGATGAGACGTACTGAGGAGAGAAGAATCACACCCTCCACACATGGAGACCATCTCGCTTCTAATGAGAGCTTGATAGAGCTTGTTTTTGTTTTGGATCTTTCTCCTTTGTTGCCTACCCATGGAATCACACGAGCAATTCCATCAATATTTCTCTTGAACATTTGCATAGCAATAGAGAGATCATGCTGTCCCACCATGCAGCCGATGCGAAGGAGCGTAGAAAGCGACGTTCGGGTGACTTGCCTGAAGGTAGTATACACGCGCGCACAAGGCCAACAAGGCATTAGAATCCAGAATGAATTGCAAATTTCACTGCAATGGCAAGCTGTGGCACCAGCTGTGGTATTGCAATTAATTAGTAATTAGTATTATTAGTATGTCATACATTGCAATACACTGCGCAACTGAGGTGGAACCGCAGCATCTGCGCCACCAGCAGTTGTCCGTATTCCTTCTGGAGTGAGGATCCAAGCGTTCGTTATTTTAGTGAGTGCAACATTGAGATGAAAAGTGATGAAAACATGAAGGTGGACTTGGGCCGATTCAATAGGGCCCCCTTGACGGGCGCCTTACCATGCCGTTTTTACAATCTCAGTTTTTCCTGTCATGAACTAATTAGAAGTTTGTGGGCAGCTGAGGCCGGATCTCAGGCCGCTGAGAGTAGCGGCTGTCTTTGTGCATTCTTTGTGCATGTATTTATGAAGCCACCGGGGCCTGTCAGGACCAATTGGTGCGCTCTCAAAGCTGCAGGCCACCGGCTCTCGATGGCGACGACACTCCTCAGCCTCCTTTAAACCGCCAGGAGAGACATGAATCTTTGGTTCCAATGACTTTTAGCAGAACTTTGCAACTTGCTTTGCGTGCAGACACGTGCAGGATACAGTTCCGCCACCGCCTCCCCCTGACGAAGTATCATGGCCAAAAGACTCACTTCACTTAGTATGCCAAATGTGGAAAGGACCCTGCACTGTAGAAGCACGGCTTCAGCCACTGGGCTTTCAGCGGAAAACGAGCGTTCAGGTCATGCAGGAGGCTTTGGCTCCTCAGACGGTTCCTGCAGCAGGATCCCCGTGTTCAGACGCATTTGCACCTCCGGTGCCTTGGAGCTTTGACATATTTATGCATTTTGACATTTTTCATGAATATGTCAAGAACATTTCTGTTTCGTGTTTTTCAATGTGCTGCGTATTGTGCCATCTGGGGAAAAAAGCAGGCCCATCCTCCATCTCCAACGTCTGGCAAACGACCAGAACCTTCGTTGCAATTGCTGTAGTTGAGCTGAAGTTTCCTGTGATCATGCCAGAGCTGCAGGGCTCAGTGAGCAACACGTCACTAACTTGCCATGGAACCTCTCACAAGGTTCTGCACGGCACTTTGGAGAAGGCTTTGAGCCTCAAGAGCCAAGACGAATCTCAGATTGAGTCAAGATGAGCAAGCATAAGTCAAGAGATTATGTGAAAATAATAGCTCAAGATTAGATGACAAGCTGGATTAAGCTCTGCAAGCGATAACTGAGTGTCCTGAGGACAGCTTTCAGGGCTCGACCTTTGCCGCTTTCGAGCTGCGAGCTGGGCCTGAAGCTGCACATTGACATCGCAAATCTCTTTGGCCTGGGATCTTTGTTTGTGAAATGCTTGATATTCTGATACACGCATTGAACCTCGATGAATTAATATCCCAGTCCAAGGCAATTAGTGCAATGTCTTTTGTCAGGAAACATGACAGCTTGCCCTTTCACTGACGTGTGACAGCTGGCACAGAGCCAAGCTTCTATCACCGTTGGTGGAAAAGGCTCCAAAGTCTTGTAAACCGGGGCTTGCTTTGGGCAGTTGCAGCTTCCAAACTCGTCACATGTGGAACTCCAGCAAAGCTGGAAGGCAAGCAGGTGATGTGTCTCACTGCCTTTCAAGAGTGTGCAGGTCTTGCACCTGTTGCTCTTGAGTTGAGAGTCTAAGCGATGCCGTGGGCCAGGAGGTGCCCACAGCGCAGCCACAAGGTGTAAGGCGTAAGTCAAGCTAAGTGAGTTGTGATTGTCTTGGAAGTTCAAGACCAGGAAAAAAGGAGGAACGGGATGATATAGGCCTGTCCAGTCCGGAGGCATTGTATGGTTTCTTACTTCACTTCGATTCAGCCTCTCTCAAGTGTTGCAATTGTCTGCACAGGACTTGGCCCATGATCAAGATGATCGTCAGAAACCTCAGTGGGCGAACAACAACACCGACAACAACAACAACAACAGCAACAACAACAACAGCAACAACAACAGCAACAAGAGGCTCAACAACAAGAGGCTCAACAACATGAACAAGAACAGCAACAAAAACGAGCACCACATACAGGTTTGATATGATTAAATTATAATTTATGGGTCAGAAGCTTTGTCTGATTAGAGGCCCGGAGCCACCAGTGCGACCAACACGGTCATACTTGTTGCTCGGGCGCTCTCGGCGCACTTACGATCACTTACCCGTTTGGATCGGATTTCCCAGCACTTGCCAGGAAAGAGGTTGTCCTTTCAGAGGGTGATGCAGTCCTGACAAATACCGGATCAAAGCTCAGATAAATCTGCGAATCTGCACTTGTCTTGAGTTTTCCTGTCTTTTTCTCAATGCTGAGCTTAACTCGCTAGTTCTCAATCTGCCAGCCAGCCGGTCGGCCGGCGATCCAAAAACCTCAGCTGAGACGTATATAGCCAGCCGGCCGGCCAGCCGGCCCCTGCCTTTCCTGTGACTACCAAAACTATAATTGCGACGACGACGACGACTACCACCACTCCTACTACTCCTCCTCCTACTACTGCTGCTGCTGCTGCTCCTACTACTGCTGCTGCTGCTGCTACTACTACTACTACTACAGTACTAGTACTAGTACTAGTACTAGTACTACCAAATCCTCAGCCACACAGCCAGCCAGGCGACAAACAAGAAACACGTTGACCTGGCGGGCCGGCAGAGAAATAGTCGACCAGGTTGTTTTCGCTGTTTTCTCATTATACGTTTTCTTTGCAGCTGCTTGCTCGCCTTCAGTCTAAGGATGGCGCACATGGGCAGGGAGCTGGCTACTTGCACGACACCTGGAGGCTCAGCTTTGTGGCGACACTTCGAAAGATGCCGTCCCACAGAACACAGATTTCCGGACTGGCCAAACATCCTTACAAATGTCCGAAGGCTTGGTTTTCTGTTGTGCCCCTTCCTGCAAGTCTTTGATTCCAACGATTTCTCTATATAACTGGTCGTGCATTCCATCAGGCGTATTTGCCACAGCGTGAAGCTCCTCAACGCATTCTGGAGAGCCCGGGCTGTCTGGTTGGTGGCTCCAAGTGCTTGGTGCGGCAATGTTCGGGAAGAGGGATCAGATGGGATTCCCTGATCAAATGTCGGAGAAGTGCTGAGACACTACCACACAGCAACAATAAATTTGCTCGAACAATTCTGTGCGAGAGGATTTGTCCTGTGGGACTGGCCACATAGCTGCAGCGTCATGAGCATGAACACTTCATTTCGGTCAGAAGACCATCTCAATGTCTGAACATGGCAAACCACGTTGCTTGTCCTTCAAAAACTGCTTGGATCGTCTCGCAGCACAGGTCTTGCTGGAGTAGCGTTGGCCAAGGCCGGCTACAAGGCACGACTGCTGCAACAACTTGTGTTCCTGAACCTCGCTGAGAGAGTTGCAGGTTGTTCTTTGTGATCTGCCAGAGAATGTTGGCATCCCAGTCAACATCTTCTTTTGGACCATCCATAGGATTGCATAAGATCCAAAAGACTCGGCTCCTTCACTTGGTAAGGTCCAAACTGTGAGGGATAATTTGGCCAGAAATCGGTCGCCAAACCATCCTTGGGTGCTGCGCTTGACTGGGAAGGGAATGGACAAGGGATGCTGACGTCCATAACAAAAGAACCAACATATTTTTTTTCTTGTTTTCCTTCATATATGATTTACAGCACGTGTTTCGTGAGCACATGCGCTCCAAGGTTGACCAGGCAGAGGTTGTCGGCTACTCCTGGGGCAGACCTTTGCCAGAGGTGCCGTCAATTCCCCTCAAGTCATGGTTACAAATTTGTGACTCTCATCCTAGGAGCTCCAACAAGTCTTTGACATTGTGCTTTGCGGAGACCTACTCTTCCATGTTTGTCCCTCAATATGTTTGGAAAAACATGGAAAAGGTCTCTTGGGAAGACAGCAAGTCAGAGCGAGGTTTGGAATGAAAAGCTCCAGCAAGAATTTATGCAAACTCTTCAGGCGGCACCGGGCGCATTTGCCAAGTTCAGTTCGGTCGTACAGTGTTTCCTTGCGCTTCGAGCCTTGAGAGTCGTTCTTCAGGATATTTGCCGTCGAAGAACACCCAGCCTTTGCCTTGCAGAATTGAGTCACGACTTGGGGATTGTGGTGCCAAAGAAGGCTTCACTTCATGTGAATACTACGTGCCGCCAAATGTGTCTTCCCAAAGATCAAACACAGATGTCAATGATGTCGTGTTTCGTCAAGGTCCTGTGATTGTCTTTGCCGGCCAAGTGCGCAGTGGTCGCCAAGAGAGCCAGGCCCATGTCAACATGAACTGGGCTGTTTCATGCTGTTTCAGTTTCATGATTTGCACATGTTTTGCAGGTTCAGTCGAAAAGATGACGATGATCAAAAGGGATTAATTGGTTTCCCTGAACAGTTGTACTTAATAGACTCATGGGCATGTGAAGCATCCGAACAAATCAGTGGGCAACTACTCATTCTTGAACTGTAGCTAAAGTACTTGCTTGAAGTAAGTTTGCTCCAAACATCTTCAAACCATCTAAGGGGATGGTTTCCATTGCAAGGGAAGGTGTGCTATTGGGAGAGGCACTACTGGAGCTTAAATCCTCATTAAGCTTGCAGTGCACTTGATGCAGTGGATCCTCATAAAGATTGGCAAGACATTCATTCAAATTCATTCAATCCTACGAACATCCAGTTGGAATTCCCACAATGTCGCTCAACACATGTGTAAATGCCCGAACTTTTTTCAATCTGTTGCAACGTTTCTCTTGATTTCCTCATATGTTCAATGAATTATATATCGTGGCTTTGCTGCCCTCTGGGTTAGATTTACAGACCCGAGTCGGCATTCTTCCTCTCACTAAGCGATTCCTGATTTTTTCACATGATATTTCATACATGTTCCACGATAGTTTCCTGTTTTTGGCAATGTTTTCCCATCATCTCAATTTTGTTCAACGAACATCTACCCCAGTCCATTGGGGCCCATGCTGTGAAGATTGGGCACCCAGGGAGTATAAATGACATGTGTCTTGAGTCGTTTTTAGATTCACGGCCAGGTCATGGACAATGTGGCAGAAAGACTCGGCTACCATCAGGCAGATAGCTGCAAGCATGAAGACCATTGCATGAACCGCGCGTGCTGTAAGGTGCCTATTAGCCTAGACCAGTCATGGTTTTCTGCGGCTTCACCACTGGTAGCCGATGCAAAATATAGGTGTGGTCTCGCTTGAGTCGAGCTTTAGAGTGAGGATTTTCGAAGACACCTGGCGAGTTTGTGAGGCTTACACGCCTTGAGTCTGAAGCCAGTAAGTAGGCGCGATCTATTTAGCTGGATCGCATGTTGAGCTTTTTTTGAGGCCTTCTTTTCCCGTAGCATGGAGCGGTGACCTGGCTCCGAGTCTCACTGTGTTGTCAAAGTTTAGGGCTTGAGCTGCAGAGCATGGCTGAGCACAGTAAAAGATGCCACTCGATGCGAGCGTGGAACATTGCTTGAGTCTCATCCTCTATGTGTCAAGACAATAAGATGGTATCCTTCACCATGTGTGTGTGAGATACTGTGTGAACTCACATCGCCGATCCACGCACAACTGCTGCACCCGTTTGCACCATGATGAAAGCAGTTTCACAAAGAAGCACCTGCGGGACGCTGGCTTCATGTGCATGATGCGTCAACGCCCCTCAGTCGTGTGCCGCCACAACTGGTCCCACAGCTTCCTTTGCCACATCAAGCCGTCTAACCCTTGAGCTGGAGTCGATTTGCATCAAAGGCAACTAATTACTGCTACTAGTTTGAGGATTGAGTCTGGAGCGTGATGATCGAACCACCAGCCCTGCCAACCTCAGTGACTAAGAGAGGTCTCAGCTTTGACCTGGAGAACTTGAGGCACAAGACTGAACTGGTGGCTCCTGAGTTTACTACCTCTCCTCTTACTGATTGCTCAGCTCTTTTTGGACCAGACAATACCTGAGTGACAACAATAATGACGTGGCTGACATTGAGACATGCTTACATCTGCAAATGTTGGGCATGGTGCTTCTCGCACATTTCAACTCTTGAACCGTCAGGCTTGGAGAGTCTTCAAAGCCGAAACACGTTCATTCCCCTCAGGATGAAGCTCTACAAGTTGAGCTGTGCTCACTGATGTCCACATCCTCCTCCCAGCCCTCTATGCCTACCACGTTGCTTACGCCTTGCGCCACACAATCGAGACCATCGAGCACCATACCACATCCTAATCCTACTCTCCTGGAGCCCCAAAAGAGAGATGCCGACCAGACTACACGAGACACGCTCCCCGTTGAGCTCGCAAAGCTACACGAATCCCCCGACAGTCAAACAAGGAGATTTCGTCCACATGCGCAGCAGGCACCGGCATAAGCACAAGCATGCATTGATGTTTGTAGTTCTGAAGAAACCCAGACTTCGACTTCGATTTGCGCACCACACAAGAGACACAGCAGATCGACACTGTGATGCGGCAGTACAAAGACACTCAAACTACCTCGAACCTAAACTGCAGTGACAACGGAGCCACATACGTGACTTTATTAAGCTGCGGAAAATGCATTAGAACAATTCGCCTCTTCAATTCAATTGCAGTGCTTGCGGTGCATGCCAGCTCTCACACCTGCTTTCCTTTACAGTACATGCCGTTACATGCCGCATGCTTTTGTCTTCCGGAGTGTGACGCGAGATCCATTTTGGATCCATTTGGCATGAAGCTCATGCAGCTTCTTTGTTCTAGACAGATGGAGTTCGCCAAAGTCCTTGTAAGTTTGCATTTTTGCGCTTGAATTTTGCCTGACTCGAGTGCGCAACACTGACGCTTTCTTGCCCCTTCAAGCTCTCTAATCCTGGGCTTTCTCTAACTCAAGTTTTGTTTTAGCATTTTTGCGCGTGGGGGAGGCCATCGCTCTTAGGTTGCAGGCCGTCACTATTGGGGGGAGGTTATAGCGACTATATAGTGTAGATTATAGATTCCAATTTTGCAGGCTGCGCCTTGCAGTCTACTTTGCAGCACCGCACGCCGGAAGATGGAACCTTGTTTGACGGGTCACATGCTGCAAGACAGCCATTGCTGAAGAAATTGAAGATAACATAAAGCTGTTCTTCCCAGGAATTCCTGCATGTATACTATATCAATTGAGCTCAATTCATGTTTTTGTAGAAAGAGGAACGTGCTGATACCGTGCTTTCTGCCACTACTCAAAAGCTTGTATCCACCATGTATTGGAACGCTCTCACAAACTAAGCCGTTGAATCAGCATGCTGATACATGCTGCGAAACTGTCCATAATCTTTGCCCCAGTCTTGCAATTTCTGAATCGATGTAACTTGGCGAAGGGTTCCCAGTGCAACTTCTATTTTCATGTGTAATTTTGATGCCTTCATTGGGTGTGTAATCCAGTATATTTGGTATATCTATCAACATAAATACACACATGATAGAGGTTTGCACGTTTCTCTCCAATCAATTTATGTTGTCTCTGCTCGATGCCCCTTCCGCACGTTCTTTGTTCCATTCCGATTTCCTCATTATTTGCAATGGAATTGAACCGAACAAGGGGTTAGCCAGAGGTGGACGCCTATTTTCCAGCAAGTGAGCTTGAATGATCAAAGATCTGGGGTTCATTGTGACACCTTGCACTTTGGTGGCACAGGTTTGCATTCGCTGTAGTCATGAATTGAAAAACGTTCTAAAGCATGGGAAGTGCTATAGAAGGAGCACTGCCAGTTAAAAGGCCTGACAGATCACGTTCTTACCCACTCTTGCCTGTACCGGTTATTTCAGAGAGGATCGAGAACACGTGCTACTTGCTGTCGACGACACTCGTGTGCCACGCCTTACCACAGCAGGCATCCCACACTCTTGCAAGCAAATCACCTGCGTTGCGCATCTCCAGCTCGACGGGTGAACTTGGCCTTGGCTGAAGCTGCATTTGCCCAGAACCCCAGCATAGTTCGCTCGAAGGCATCCCGACGAACAGTGTCCCTCTCGACAGTTGGCTCTTTGTGCTGCTGCCAGGTCTGCCAGGTCGCATCTTCTCCAGGGCGCCCGGGAACGACACGAGCGCGATCCCCGCTGGCCTGGTCGATGCGGTCCGCGGCATGCCAGTGGCAGTGCAGGCTCTTTGCACTCTCCTTACCGCTGGCTTCCACCCAGGAAACCATGCATCTGCAGCCGCTTCCTTGGCTGAGGCTCGGCGCGTCCCTGCCTCCGAGCTGCCCACGGCCTCCCGCCACCACCTCCTCCGCACCCCGCTCGAGCCCGTCACTCAATGTCTTCCATCTCGTCGTGTTCCACTTCAGCCTTCCCGCCCGCTCCACCTGTGCCAGCGCCCTTGCCAGCCATTCCTGCTTAATTTAAGAATCGCCCCGTACGTCCTCAAATTTGTTCACGTGCAAGAACCTGGGTGATTCGAACGTCAGGTTGCGAGGTGGTCCAAGTGAACCACCTCGGATACCTCAGAGCCATGTGAAACCCAGCGGGCAGCTTCAGTTTTGCGTCGGAGGCTTTTTGTATTTTTTTGTCTGGTATTTTTTCTAGACGTGGCGGCCCGCACTCACTCGTAGGTGCTGTCCAGAAATTTTGTTCGTTGGACACTGCGAGGGTGAGCCAAGACTGCGACGGTGTGAGTGGAACGCGCAGTCGTCCGATCAGTGATTTGCACGCGTCCCTGCCAGTTGAAAAGCTTGTCTTGGGCTCGCTGGACTGTGACTTTGGGATGGAGGTGAATACTTCCTGTGTGCGCAACTGATGAATGCTGATTACGTTTTGGTTCGCATCCTTTTGCGCAGAGCCCTTCCTCCTTGCACGGCGATGAGGATCGCATCGAGGACCTTGATTTTATGCGGGCCATTCACGCCCGCCAGTGCACTGCGTAGGCCACATTCGACATGGCTGCAATGTTCTGCGGGGAGAAGCTCCAAGCAAAAGGCACGCAGTCCTGCTCCGCGAACTGCAAAAACAGATGTTTTTCCCGAAAGCATTGCGAAGGGTTCTTCCGGAAAATCCCTTGAACACTGACACTTCGACACTTACACTTACACACTGACACTTCCACCACACTTGCACGACAACATGAACGCTATATACGTACCCCAGTGTAAGTGGAAGAGCGAAAGCAGCCAAGTGCAAAGTATGCAAGTGTAATGCACGTGTAAGTATGCAAGTGTAACAAGTGTAAGTATGCAAGTGTAAGTATGCAAGTGTGAGTATGGATGAGTATTGTAGTGTAGAATGTATAGAAAACTAGCACGGGAGATGTCCTAATGAAAAAACATTTTCCCACTTTATAAATTCTCTCTTAAAGGCGGAGGGTGGGACGAACAGCGTCAACCGAAAGTGCAACCCTCTGCGGAGATCGTGCGTGTCGAGTGCGCAAAATGCAGGCGAGAGTGCGATTTGCCGGCTGCGCGCGCAACCCTCTGCGGAGATCGTGCGTGTCGAGAGCGCGAAGTGCAGGCGAGAGTGCGATTTGTCCGGTCCGCGCGCAACCCTCTGCGGAGATCGTGCGTGTCGAGGGTGCGAAATGCAGGCGAGAGTGCGATTTGGCGGCTGCGCGCGCAACCCTCTGCGGAGATCGTGCGTGTCGAGTGCGCGAAATGCAGGCGAGAGCGCGATTTGTTAAATTACCGCGCAACCCTCTGCGGAGATCGTGCGTGTCGAGTGCGCGAAATGCAGGCGAGAGCGCGATTTGTGAGATGCCCGCGCGGTCCTGTGCGGAGATCGTGCGTACCGAGTGCGCGAAATGCAGGCGAGAGCGCGACTTGTGAAATGAGCACGCGGCCCTCTGCGGAGATCGTGCGTGTCGAGTGCGCGAAATGCAGGCCAGAGTGCGATTGGTTGAGCAGCGGAGCAAGCTGTGGAGCTGGAAGTTGAGAACTGGCGACTGCGTGGCACAACTTCAGTACGCGGAGTAGCTGGGGAGCTGGAAGCTGAGAACTGGCGACGTGGTAGTGCAACTTTTGTACGCGGAGTAACTGGGGAGTGGGAAGATGAGAACTGGCGAGTGGGTAGTACAACTTGAGTACGCGGAGTGTCTAGGGAGCTGGAAGATGAGCACTGGCGACCTAGTAGTACAACTGTAGTACGCGGAGTAGCTGGGGAGCTGGAAGCTGATAACTGGCGACTTTGTAGTACAACTGTAGTACGCGGAGCAATCTGTGGAGCTGGAAGCTGAGAACTGGCGACTGTGTAGTACAACTTTAGTACGCGGAGTAGCTGTGGAGCTGGAAGCGGAGAACTGGCGAGTTTCTAGTATAACTTTAGTACGCGGGGCAATCTGTGGAGCTGGAATCTGAGAACTGGCGACTGAATGTAGGTGCCTATAGTGCTCAGGGCAGGCTTGGCGTAGGCTAATCATTCAGCACAAGTTAAATGGTTACATTTTGGCTCAAGGCTAGCTTTAGCCAAAATAGCTTTGTGGAGTGAAACTCTAAGAGAGAACCT